GATTTCCTAGTAAATGTTGGAAATGTGCAGAAGTCGTAAGGAATCTTCATAACTTCAGAACTTTTGAAAAAGTCATGGTATCAAGTGAACTTTTCCAGAATTGAAATGTCTTCTGCTCAAACTATGAACTGGGTGGCTGCACAGAATACATAAAACCTTTGTTAGTTGCTGTAATTAAAATAGCTGGAGTATTATAATTGAAGCATTTGTGTTTAGCAGTCTTTTTCAAAGCTGTTAACAAAAAGCTCACTGCAGTCTTCTGGCATACACAGAAATGAGGCTATTATGTCAGTATGTCAACTTCCCTTTCAATTCTAGATCCTTCCATGGAAAATGCTAGTACTTGCTGAATTCCTTAGCTAACTACAAATAAGAATTCCACTTTCTAAATACTTATTTTTAATTTTGCTGCTGTAAACAAAGGCAGTCTTTTCAAGTGAACCAATCATTATCATACTCTAGAGAAGGCATTTTTAAATGTAACTGTATTGAACGGTGTCAAAATCTTGCATTTGATTAAGAAGAATTATAAAGAGAGATCAGTCAAAGGATCTGCTGTGGGACTGGGTGGTAGATGCTGGAGTCTGCCAGACTGCTCTGGGTACAGTGGGAACAGCCCTAGGCAGAGAAGTCCTAGGACAAAGTGAGAAGAACCACCTGTAACCTTAAAATCTATAACCACCTGTGGAGAAAGCTCTGTTTTCCCCCATTTCCTCAGTTTGACAGGGTTTTCCAAAACATTAGGGCATTTAGTACCCCTTGCCTTTGTTATGAGATGACATTTCTCCCCCATCCAGTTCTCCATATAACTGAGCAAAGTAGCTACTTCCCCTGCTCTGCTCCTATGAATAGCAGGTTATTTTTGTTAGCCTGAGCTAACAAAAGTGGAAATAGCATATAATATTAGTAAATATTTTTAGAGCAGGTCAAGTGAGGATCCAGTGACTTTATAAACATTTTTAGTGGTTTCTTATCTAGATCCACTTCTTGCAGTATGTTTCCTATTTTTCCTCTTTCTTTCTAAAACCCACTTAGACCTTCTGTTGTCTTCTTGATGTAACCTCCAGGTAATCTGCGGGAAGAACAGCAAAATAATGGCATTTTTTGAGGAATGACTTAAGAGTACCAATTTCAAATTGAAAAAAAAAATCTTTTGTTTCCTAGGTTTTGGCCATAACAAAGAATTCAGTGTATGTGATAAAAATGTTTAATGCTCTCAGAGGGCAACTGAATGTCATCCTTCATTGGCCTTTATCAGGCTTTATCATTGCCCTGGTTGCAGCATGTGAAAGGAATGATCAGTGCACAAAGCACACTTCAGAGTACCAATTATATCTATGAGAAAATGAAGATGGAGAGAGGAGTAGGAATTTGCCTAGTAAGTTAAATCCAAATTGAATTGGGTAAGGCAATTTGACATCTGTTCAAGTGAGCCTGGAAGTGAACAAGCCGACCATTTCTCATCCTTCTCCCTCCCCATCATGCAAGTAACAGATAACTGCAGATAACTGGCTAAATAAAGCACTTTTTTTTTTTGTTTTTATTCCCTTGTTTGTGCATTTCATTTGCTACATGTCCTAAATTGCTAAATTTACCATAATGATTTTGAAGATCGTTTCCACCTAACCAAGGAGACTAGACTTCCCTCACAACCGGAACACATACTAAGGTTGGATTACTGTCTTTATTATTTCTTTTTTTGGCCTAAATTTTGCTTAAATTTCCATAATTAAAGATAGACCAAGTCAGAAAAAACCCAGAAAATTCAAAGCATTGAATTATTATCTCTGACATAAAAATTTGAAATAATTTTGTTGAATTAGTTGTAGTTATGACATTTACATAAGGTCTCAGATTCTGTAGAAGTTGAAAATTTGGAATAGGATTTGTTTTGGTTTAAAACTCCCCTCTTTGACAGGGCTAAATATAAGGAGTGGGCCTTTTTCCCTGACAGTCACATAAGAATGTGCCAAAATAGAAGGATAGAAAAGACAATTCCTGTGTAGGAAAAAATAAACACCAGAAAAATAATTTGAGCAAATTAATATTAATGTCATTTTCAGATCTGTGTTGCATGAAAATGAATTTTTTTAAACATCTATCAAAGGTTTACCTTGAAAATACAGATCAGAGACAAATATTACTCAGCTCTGTTCTCCTTTCATTGCCACTTTTCTTGTGAATGAGCCTATGAGATTGTCTCCTTGGTTTTGATTTTTTTATTAGTTTAATATTTGCTTGAATAGGTGCTCAATTCCCTGATCTGTTTTTATTGGACTCACAAGAATGCTTCAGAACTCCTGTCAGAAGACGATTACATGGGGAGATGGAAACGTGTTTCTGCTTTATTTGTGCTCCCTCCATTTGATTATCTGGGACCCTGTATCTAAAGAATAAGCGGTATAGAGTGGTATAATGCCATTTAAAATAAAAATGGTGGCCAGTATTCATATTCACTATTGGAAGTATGAAACTGTTTCTTTGTGGGCTGAAAAAAATCCCTTATCTACTACCTTAAATGTACCATTATGGGCCACGGTGCATCTTGGTATTAAAACTGTGTGGTTCAGTCACAGCCATGAAAAGTTTTGAGTAGAATCCCTTTTGCCTTTGTTGCCTGTGTCATTTCTTGGGCATTCACCTTTCCACACCAGTGACTTGTCCCTGCTCCATAATGCTCCTTTTCTTCTCCAGGAAAGCTGCTGAGCATGGGAGATTCTTTTCTGGTGGTCTCTGGATCCATGTACAGCTGCAGACACCCTATGAGAGCTGGAAGGATTCCTCCTGTATTAAACACTCTGGAATTCAGGTCTCGTGCAGCATAGGACTCTGGTCTAGTCACTGCTGTGTGTCACCCTCCTCACCACAAGATTAAGGCATTTGTGACTTAAGCTTTCAGCTTATTTTTCAACATTTATTAAGGTTTGGTAGCCATTTTTGCCCTCTATATTTCTACATTCAAATTGCTGATTTAAGGAAAAACATAGCAATCTACAGCATTTGAAAATAACTGCTATGTGTGCTGCTAATTGTACCAGAATCAGACTGGGGTAAGTACTCAGTATATTGAATAATTCTGAAAAGGTGTTAAAAATCTCATATAAAATATCTGCACATCTCTGACCCTGACACTGTTATTGCAGATAAAGTTTTGGGACTGAAAATCCATTACAGCCATGCTGAATAATCTTGCAAGAGGGCTGTCTTAGGCTGGTTCCATCTTGATTTTTTCTGATGTGTATATTAACAGAACTTTTTTTTTTCTACACTGTCAGGGATTATGTGTAAGACTTTTGCAGGTTCAAACCTACAGGTACAAACTTAATTCCTTCACTCAGGGTTGAGTCAAGCATACAAATGCAAGGCTTGTGATCAGAGCAAACATAAGACAGAAAAGTTTTATTAGTTTCCTAATCTAACACATTAAGGTTCCAGTTGGTGAATAAGTTCAGCTTTGAGTGATGTTCCTGAAGTGGATGTCTATAGGAAGATGCCAAATTGGGAACCTCTGAGATGTTGAGCTAGTTTAGCAATGATTTCATAAATGTCAAAGTGGGAAGGCAGCAACCCAGTCAGCAGGGCAGAGAGCCAACAGGGCAGAACAGAAAACAATGCAAAACTTGTGACTTGTAACTTGTCACCCCTGAGTACCCTCTCCAGATAGACATTTTCCCCTTTCAAATGTCTGCATCGAATCTAGGAATTCTTTTGGTGATTTTTCTTCTACCAAAATGTATAATGGCTTGTGGTGTTGACAACTCCAGTCAAAACTGCATTTAAAAGAAAAATATGAACAACTCTTCATGCACAGGTCACATTCTGTGTGTAAAAGTATGGAGCATTAGGTAAAGTTCAAAATGCAAATGTGTTTCACAAGTCAAACTTCTCTGTGTGGCTGGATGCATCTGTTATGAATAAGAGGCTTCATAATTCATTGAAGATGGGAAAAAAACCCTGAACATTCTCAGTTCTCTCAGAAAATGCATTTAGTCTCTTAGCATTTAGTTAATGATATAAATTTTCAAAATTCTATGTCTTTATTGCTACATTGATACATACAAATATGTACAGTGTTGTGTGGTGTTTGTGGCTGTCAAATCTCTGTGTAATTCCTGACATTTGAAATTGATAAAAAAATTTGAACAAGAGGGAGGGATAATAATGAGACAAAATACTACATAATTGACATAGGGGAGTGTTTCTGGCTGTCATTTTCTTATACCTTTTATTTTTAAGAAGTGGAAAAAAATTTTCAACAAAAAGCCTGTCAACAGAAGGAGTTGGACAAGTCAGACAAATGGTGAGGGCCACAGAGGATACACAAAATTTCCACTTGTTGCTTTTGCTTTGAGATATTCTGCAGAATATTTCACAGGCCTGGCCTGTGAAAAAGCTCTGGCCTTTCTGCAGGGCATTGGGCAGTATATCCATTCAGGCTGCTGACAGCACTTCTGGGGCCTCACAAGTCATGTATCCATTTAGTGAAAACAAGCTTATCTAAAAATGGGAATTTTGTCTTCCTGCTTTTTCATTAATTCATTCAATAAGTGTTAGAGAAATCAACCATCTCTTTCTAAAAGAACTGCATTTCATTCACTCATCCCATAACTGGGCAGAAGAATAAAGCCGTGACATTTTTGGTTAAATTATGACATGCTGTAGAATTAAAAAACAATAATTCTACCTTGTGAGAGTCTGTTTATCCTGAGATATTATGGATGTTGTAAAATATTACTGAAATAAAAATCCTGGATGGGATTCCTTGCTGAAACTGGTTTCTAAACATGAACTGATCTTTTCTTTTTGTATGTAGCTCATTTAAAGAAACAACAGACAAAGAGGGAAACATTTGGAAAAGTTCATTGCACCAAATACTGGCCTAAGAGATATTGGTACATTTTATTATAACAATTCTGTGCATACATCCCACAGGTTAGGCTTCAAAAGTTGCTAGCAATCATGTTTTTTTAGGCAACGAAACATCAAGATAGTGATATTACCTGGATGCATTTATCCAGGCTCAATTGTTCATATGCTGTGCAGGACTCCAGTCTCATGAGACCTAAAAGTCTTGCTGGTCCCATCAGTGCTGTCAAGAGATTTGGAAAAAGAAATTCTCAGAGCTTGGTGACAGTGGAAGTTCTCTAGCTGCTGACAGTAAACTGTCAAGACTGAACACCATTCAAAAGATGCAAACATTGGAAAATACTTTACAACAGCTTCAAAATAAAACTTTTTTGTGTACTCTTTTTAGAGAAACGTGAAAATACAGAAAATTGCAAGGTGGCCTCTAAAGAAATAATCAAAGCATACCAGTGTTGTCTACAGGTAATATACAGGAAATTTTGAAGCACATGTTTTTGTTTCCCAAAATTCCTTAAATTACCTGATACATCTTGTTTGAGACTGAGATTTATGTAATGCCAATAATGTGCAAGTTTACCTCAGCTGAAGAAACAAAAATTGGCAGCTAAAGGTGTTTTGCTCTGTAGCCACAGGTGCCTCTAATCAAAGATGTATCAAAATGTTTTTCAGCTTCCTGAGTGCACAACAGAATGGAAACATCTATTATTCTGAAGACAGCAGTGAAGGTACGGTAGCAGCATTTGATAAATTTGGGCAGAGAACTACAACATATTGTTTGAATTGTCAAGTGAGAGCTCTTGGACACCAATTATTTTACAAAGGAATGGAAAATTAAAACGACTGCCTGTCCCTAATAATGAGCTGAATTTTGAATTTTCTGTGTTGAGTAATACAACAATAAGATATTAAGGATTATGAACTAAAATTTCCACCTCAAAGAGACACAGAATGCTGGCACTGTGATTGTATTAAATTGATTGAACTCAGATACTGAGTATTTGTAGACTTCTTCCCATTACAGATTTTTACATCAAAAATCATTCTTGTGAAAACTGTACTTAGAAAGAGACAACTGATTTTTGACATTTTGATCATGATAGAAAAAAGAGTTTCTAGATCTTGAACATAAGAATACAGAGGTGACTATTAGCTTTAATAAAATACAGCCATGTGGTTTCCATTATTAGAGTGAAAGAGCCATTAATCTTAAATTTATGTTCTGCAGTGTTTGCAAAATAGATAAGAAGGGAACTTTATCATATCTCTTCATAGGAATTTGGGGAGGTTACATTCCTCAGCAGTGTCTGGGAACTGGCAGAAATCAGGCACGTGGTCAGTGTCAGGTCTGATGTTAATCAGGCCTTTGATCAAAGCACTGTTACTGCAGAGCAAAACTCTGTCAGTTCTAGACCAGTAGATCTGCTTGGAAAGTGAGCAGGAGGCTAATGTTACAAAACCAATAATTAATCACAACTTGCAAGGATTTTTTCTTTTCAGGCATATTCAAACAGTTAGTAAATTAATTTGGACCACTTATGGTTTGTAACTACTGCCCTAATTATGAGCACCACTGCAGCATTTCCTAGTTTTGTGTGGCTGGCAAGGTGAGGAAGAGGAAGGAGGCATTGTCCAGTACAAACATCCATAAAAAAATCAGAGCCACACATGAACACACATTCTGACTTTGCCATTTCATTACTACTGTTCAATGATCACTGGTCATTTAAGAGACACTGGGAAAACACTATGAAAGCAATTCAGACTATAGAAATAGGTACCTGTGAAAGAATATAGAAATTTAATATGAAATCAAACATTCACTTCTCAGTTGTGTTCACTGCCATCCACATAACAGAGCTGCTTAAGATTCTACCCGTTTTGGGAAGAAGAATTTTAAAAAAGATGAGTTTTCTTTAGGAAAAAGTACACAGACAAACAAAAGGTGTATTTTTGTCTCATTGTTATTTATAATCATTCATGACATGAGTATTCAAAATAATAGAAATGTTCTTTTCCCTTCAGCTAGCACATAAGAGCTTCAAGAGATTTCCTCCATTTGCCATTGTCAGGCTCAGTGGGAGTCTGAGTTGCTGAGCAACCATTTTTCTCATTTGATGTAATTTATCTTTTGACTAATAGAAAGCACTACTGATGGATTGACCAGAGAAGAAAAAGCAAAAGAACAGAAACTAGATACTGAATTGAGCATCTATAACATGAAACAATTTTGACATATAAGTAATGAAAATTAATAAGTAAAAATAATGCCATCTTATGAATTTTATATTTAAAGCTTACCTGCATTTGAAAACAGTGTCTTGTTCCATCAGTGTGCTTAGGAAGGTTTCATAATAGTGCCTTGTCAGGTCAGAACACTGCCTGACAAACAAACAATAATGAGGAAAATCATATAGGCATTTACATATGTTGAACTTGCATACAAGTTGTTAGTAAATGTGGAATATTATTGATATTTACAAATTATATAAAAATGCCTTTAGAAGCCTCTTCAACACCTGCTAAGGCACCCTTGAGGAGAGAAATGGGGAAACTGTGATGCTGTGTGATCACTGCTATGGATCAATTCCAGGTATTTACAGGGGCAAGGTGAGCATTTGGCCAGAGAAATTAGCTGTTGTGGTCCTCCTGACTGCTCTGCTTTTTTAAAGTAGTGGGAAATTATGAGGCTGGAGGATCCTGGATTTTTCAGTGTTTGCATTGTGATGGATAACCTTCTCATCCAAGGAATTCACAAAAGCAATGACTTTGCAAAAAGGGAAAAACTATTTTGATAGAGTCCTGCTCTGGGAAAAAACTATATCAAGAATGAAATACTAAAAATGAATGGATCAAGAAAGCTTTTTTATTTTAAATCCAGCATATGTGCCCTGTTGAGCTGAATCCATGACCCTGCCTCCCAGAGACACATAAATTTATACAGCTGCCAACAGTTTGCTGTATTTCTGTCAGCCAGTTCCCAGGGTGTGGCACAGCCTTAATACAGAGCACAGATTTCATATCTCAGCTCTGTGGGCTGATGTAACCCCTTTGGGCATGCCAAAGGGAGAGAAGATTTAGTTTTGCAAGATCCCAAGACTATTTGTGCTTAGTTGCTGATTCATGGTTGTTGTCACACAACTTAATCATTGACTGTGAGCGATGACTGGGAAGGCAAATTTGGAAATAAAAATTTACTTGTGGAAACACAGAATCAGCTTCTAAAGAAGGTATTCTCGTGTGATGGTGGCAATTTAATCTTTCATTGTTCTCAGTGGTGGCCAGAATGACAAGACACAAATTGTCACATATGGCAGGCTATTTACAAACTAACTGTGGTAATTCCTAGATTGTTGTAGTGGCTTGATAAATGCTTCTGTCCTTTACTGTTCATACTGTGTGTGTTTGTACAGAAATTGTTAATAATCACTGATCAGCCATCTGAAGAGATGTTCTGGATTTGTAATAGGGTTGTCATTCAATCTAAATTAGTTTAATTCGTATTTCTGGTGGCAATCCATCAATTTGCATTAATTTCCTCTGAGGGCAAGGGAATTTTCAATCAGTTTCAGTTTTTAAAAACTTTCTTCTTGCTTGCACATAAAAGAACTTCAGGTGGTTTGGTTTTGTTTGTTTATTAAAATAAACACAAACCATTTTGGATAAAAATTTTGCATGTAGAGAATTTTGGTTTCTGGGGAGTGTAAATTACCAGAATAAGAGAACCATCTCTTAGTAAGCAGGACTGTTCCATGAGCTCTATTGACTTGGATTTTTTACTGTGAACAGGGGCTGAGACTAAGAAGTCATCAAATACTTTTTTTCTCTGAAAAATGGATTAAGATATTTGATTATTTTGTTATCCATATTTATCAGATGAATTTGGCTATTAGAAGCCAGGCTTCAGGACAGACATGAATGTTGCTGAAAAGGATGAAAAATATTTTTTCATATGTGTGTTTCAGGATATCTTTAGCAGTTGTTACTTGGATAACTTGTGCTAAGTCAATTGGAAAACTTGTGCTGTATTTATTATCACTGAGGATTTAATTTTGAAACTGTTGTATGGAATTTGAGCAGCATGGATTCAATTTTAATTTTTACTTGCCAAGGTAGTACACAGGAATAGAAATCAGCTTGTCATATAAAACTGTGGGCAACCCCACTTAGCCAACAAATAGTAATTATTAAGAAAGCAAAGACTTTACTCCTGTCACCTCTGGTGACACTTAGAGAACCATTTTTTTCATGGAGTTAAGTCTGTGGGCTAAAGAGGAAAAATGCTGAACTTCTCTAATAACTAAAAATATCATGTCCTTAACATATACAAAAATACCATGACACTGAAGAGAATGCTCAGCTTAAGGACAAGGAAACCATATTCATCATCCATATCCCTCCTGAGGAAGCTCTGCTATAATTGCAGCTCACACTAGAGTCAAGCCCAAAATAGTACCAACAATGGAAGTGGACACCAGTGTCACTTTTTCCCTGAGCACACAAAGGATCTGAATGCCACATAAAGCAGGGCACTGAAAATGTAAACTACAACCATGGGATTTTGTGAGCTTTCATCTATTCTTGTTCTGCTCTTGGCAAAGCTTTAAAGAAAGTTAACTTATATCTGCATTTAACTGTGGGTAAATAGGAAAAATGTGCAGTGATGTTGATAGCATAATTTGGAATTAATTAAACTGCATCTTATCAGTAAAATACCCTTGTTTTTTGCTTATTTTGGAGTTGCAAAGGTACAGGGACTTCCTGCTGGTGCTTTAATATTTTCCAATAGCCAGTATGAAGTCCTGTTTGAAAAGGGTTAAACACTGCTAAAGTGTTGTACGTGCACATTTCTATCATCATGCATTGCAGTATCTATTCCCTGTACAGAATCCAGAGATAAGGAAGTGAAGCTTTAAAGGAATATGTGATGTGATCCACAGGAATTTAATGGTCAAAAGCACTTCTCAGATCATCCTTTCTTGGGGCAGCAAAGCGACAAACAGCCCCAGAGTGTTCTCAAACATGTTGTTTTCAGCTCCTTCACTGGATGTGTTCTTACAGCTGCCCTGGGAGCAAATTGTAGCCTACAATTCACCAAACGATTCTCTTTATTCTCCAAATATTACTGTGCTAAAAATTATTGGTACCCCATTGATGCCAGTGAATGAACCTGAAATTTCCAGGGCACTTGAAAGAGTATTTTCTTTCTGATGTAGGCTGTCAGGTCTTGGAAAACAGGGATAATACTGAAGAGACATGAGGAACTGAGTGTTATGGAAGTTATCTGTGAGTCAGTTCAGGTTTTCATTCATCCTTTGGCCTTATCTCAAATATACTTTGTTGTCAGCAAGAGAGCAGAAGGGTACTGAGATTAGGAATATTCCACTTAGATGGAAATTTGTTGTGTGTGTGGTTCCCACTAAGCAAACACCAATAGGCTGGAGAAAGCATAAGTGCATTGCTGAGAATTAATCTGAATTGGGTCACAAAAAAGAATTTTTGACATCTAAAGCTGAACTGATGTTTTATGCTGAATGATGAAAGTTGGAGAACTATAAAGGAGCTTGTGTTTTTTAAAAATCTATGCTGCCCAAGAAAACAATAGATTGTCAAAATGCTCATGTAGATGTAAACCATGCTTTTACTGGATAGAATCAAACAATAAAAAGGTCTCAACCAGAAATCACACTTTTGATAATAAATGTAACTTCCCATGAAAGATTCATTTAAGAATATTAATAACTGAAACCCTCTTCTAATTATAGAATACCCCTCTAATAAGTCAGTTACTTTGAAAATCATAAATATGGCCGTCTGATATAAATTTACTCACGTATATTTTAAAAGCTGTTGTGAAAGCAGGCAGTGCTAAAGGAGAAATCTCTTTAAAATTCTTTCTAAAGAATAATATTTTCATTTAGATAAAAAGGAAAAAGGCTTTGTTTTGAATTTTGAATATGTTCCTTTTTCACACTGAAAAGTTAGGGTCTGGCCAGCATGGGAATCACCTACAGAAATGCTTGCTTGAAAATGCTGTTACCAATATAAAAATATTTCAAAAGGAATACATTTTATGAACTATTTCAAATTCATGTAAAGTTTGGGCTTTCATTAAGTCTGTAGAGCAGAAAACATTGTAGTCAATAAGCCTCAGCTTGTGTCATTCTCTATTATCCAATAAGAGTAGACAGTAGCTTTAAAATAGTAGAAAATAAATATATAACTAGGCAATGCATTTCTTAGCTGTTTGAGGCCTTCTTGCACATTTCCATGACACAATGTCTGCAAGTACAATGGCATAATGCCCACTGGGGAAAAGACTGGAATGCTATTTGTTCCCAAAACTGCATTTCCTTGTAAGGGAAAAAGCTCTAACTTGGCAAACAGTTTCCAACCTTTCACTGCATTTTCAGATGAAATCAGGGTTGTCTTAATTTTTTTTTTTTAATTCCTTTTTTTTTTTTTTTTATGTCAGAGGATTAGGGAAGGAGAAGTAAATGTCATTCTGTGTCTGGTAATACTGAACACCAAGGAGATTCTTCCTTTCACAAATCTGAAAAAGTTCATGCCTAATGGTTAATAAACAAGCCATGTCAAGAGTTATTTCTTAATTTATATAAATAGTTACATATTTAAAGCTAACAATTACTTCAAGGCCTCCTAATAAAATGCTTCCTGAAGCTGCATTAGTACAGTGTAAGGCAGAGTTTCAATGATAAGAGAAAGCATAGAGTCTGCTGCTGGGTGCTGCTCTATAAATGTTTACAGGATAATAAACACCAGGCTTAATTGCATCGTCTGACAAAATATTTATTAAATTCACTGCAGCTGACTGCTATTGCTTCCAGCAATTCCAGAAATGGCCTTGTAGGAAAGAGCTGAAAAATTTTATACTACGTTGATGGATACTGCCTCTGAATTTAGATCCCAAGTAACTGTTAAAGCATTTGTTAAATTCTTGACATTATACTCCTTGCAGGAGCTATGCCCAAGGCCTAGGAGAAAGCCAGAACATAACTTGAAGCATCATCTAGTTGGTTGGTAGGTTAGGATTTTCAGTAATGTTACTTGAGCAAAAAAGAATTTAGCTAGACTTCTTTTAAAACAGCCTCCTCCTTTTCATAACTCCTCTTTTTATGGCAAAGGGAAGATTTTAGAGACGGATAAAATTCCAGTGAAGAGGAAAGAAAAATGATGAAAAATGGTTCATGTTTTAAGAGAACCAGCAGGTCAAACAAACAGAGGCAGAGGGAGATTAACCCAAGGTAGCAGTGCAAAGAAGCAAACTGAAAATAAATTAAAAAATATTATTGGAAGGCTGGAAAACAAATTTAGGAGAAAGGGTCCTGAACATTAATTAAAGTCTCAGCTGTCAGAGACAT